GTACATTGGTTCCAAAAGAGGGGAAAACAAAGAAATATAAACAAGGCTTCAAAGGGCTAACTAGGGGTGACCAGTGTTTGGGTAGCGAGAATGATAGCCTTTCGTCATCCCAACCCGTGAATGCTAAGTATAAACAAAATGCCCCAACAGAAGCATGTCAGACATAGTATCTCTTGACCGCATTAACGGATATGTCTGTCACCTTTCCTTCTATATCTGCCAAGTGTAGAGCTCCTTTTGACAATACTATCTTGACGAGGTAAGGACCTTGCCAATTCGGGGCGAACTTTCCTTTTGCTTCTTCCTGGTGGGGAAAGATGCGTTTCAAAACAAGCTGTCCTACCTCAAATTTTCTTGGGCGCACTTTCTTATTGTAAGCGCGTGCCATTCTTTTTTGGTATAACTGACCAAAACAAACTACCGCCAAACGCTTTTCATCAATCAAAGTCAATTGTTCCAATCGGGACTTCACCCATTCAGTGTCCTCAATCCCCGCTTCAACAATTATTCGTAGAGAGGGAATCTCAACTTCAGCAGGTATGATCGCTTCAATGCCATAAACCAACAAGTAGGGTGTTGCACCGACTGATGTACGGACAGTTGGCCGGTATCCCAATAGAGCAAAAGGCAATTTCTCGTGCCATTGTCTAGACCCTTGGACCATCTTCCTAAGAATCTTCTTGATGTTCTTATTTGCAGCTTCAACAGCTCCATTAGCATTGGGCCGGTAAGGAGTAGAATTGCGATGCTCAATTTTAAATTGTTCGCATACCTCCTTCATCAGATGACTATTCAAATTAACAACATTATCTGTAATAATGGTTTTTGGAATACCGAAATGACAGATGATGTTGGAGTGAACAAAGTCTACTACTGCTTTCTTGGTAACTGCTTTCAATGTAATAGCTTCCACCCATTTGGTGAAGTAATCAATTTCAACCAAGATGAATCTGTGCCCATTTGAAGCTTTTGGCTCGATTGGGTCAATGACGTCCATTCCCCAAGAAACAAAAGGCCAAGGAGCCGACATAGGATACAGCTCTGAAGGAGGCGAGTGAATCAAATCACTGTGAATTTGACACTGGTGGCACTTGCGAACAAAACGAAAGAAATCTCGCTCCATAGTAAGCCAATAATATCCTGCCCGAAGGATTTTCTTTGCTAGAACATATCCATTCACGTGCGGACCACAAACTCCCGAATGCACCTCATTCATAATCATTTCAGCTTCTTCGGCATCCGCACATCTCAATAAATTCAAATCCGGGGTTCTTTTGAATAGGATTTCCCCACTCAAAAAGAAACCATTAGAGAGTCGCCTAATAGTTCTCTTTTGATCCCTATTAGCATGTTCCGGATATTCTCTTGTTTTCAGAAACTGTTTAATATCACGGTACCATGGTTCACCGTCTAGTTCTGCTTCAATTATATTGCAATAACCATGTTGATCCCGAATTTAAATTTCTAATGGGTCAATGTGAGTATTACCCGGATATGGAAGCATTGAGGCCAGGGTGGCCAAGGCATCAGCTAATTCATTGTGAACGTGGGAATGTATCTGAACTCGATGGACTTGAACCTCTTGCTAAGATCTTCCACACATTGTCTATATGGAATGAGCTTCATGTCTCGAGTCTCCCAATCACCTTGAGCCTGCCGAATAAGCAAATCTGAATCTCCCATCACCAACAGTTCGTGCACATTTAGGTTTATTGCCATGTTCAGACCCATGATGCAAGCTTCATATTCTGCTGTGTTGTTTGTACAGAAGAAACAAAGTCGGGCCGTGGCAGGGTAATGTTGCCCAGTAGGTGATACAAGAATTGCCCCAACCCCTACGCCTTTGATGTTGACAGCCCCATCAAAGTATAGTTTCCAAACTTGACTGTCATCTTGGACTACTTCTTCAACTAAATTAACCTCTTCATCTGGGAAGTATGTGTTCAAAGATTCATACTCATCATCAACCGGGTTTTCTGCCAGATGATCAACCAAAGCTTGTTCCTTCATGGCAGTGTAGTGACATAAACAATATCAAACTCTGTGAGCAAGATTTGCCACTTTGCCAATCTGTCAGTTGGCATCGGCTTCTGAAAAATGTACTTCAGGGGATCCATTCGGGATATGAGGTAAGTTGTATAGGCGAAAAGATAATGCCTAAGCTTCTGAGCGACCCAAGTTAAGGCACAACATGTCCTTTCCAAAAGAGTGTATTTGGACTCATAAGTGGTGAACTTTTTGCTCAAATAATATATTGCTTGTTCCTTTTTGCCTGTGGCATCATGTTGACCCAGAACACAATCAAAGGAACTATCCATTACTGACAGATATAAAAACAGAGGCCTACCAGGTTCCAGCGGGACCAAAACAGGGGGATTTGACAAATATTCCTTGATCTTATCAAAAACTTCTTGGCACTCATCTGTCCACTTGATAGCGGCGTTATTTTTCAACAACTTGAAAATAGGCTCACATGTGGTTGTAAGCTGCGCGATGAACCTGCTGATGTAGTTCAACCTCCCGAGTAAACTCATGACTTCTTTTTTATTCTTCGGGGGAGGCAGCTCTCGAATGGTCTTTATCTTGGAGGGATCTAACTCAATGCCTCTTCGACTAACTATACAACCCAAAAGCTTCCCAGAAGGAACTCCAAATGCACATTTGGCTGGATTGAGTTTGAGATTGTACCTTCGTAGCCTTTCAAAGAACTTTTTCAAGTCTTGCACATGGTCATCTTGTGTTCTGGACTTAATGATCACATCATCAACGTACACTTCAATCTCTTTGTGCATCATGTCATGGAATATGGTAGTCATGGCCCTCATGTAAGTTGCCCCTGCATTCTTCAAACCAAATGGCATGACCCTATAACAATAAGTTCCCCATGGAGTGGTGAAGGCGGTCTTTTCTGCATCTTCTTCATCCATCAGAATTTGGTGATACCCGGCATAACAATCCACAAAAGATTGGATCTCATGTTTAGCACAATTATCAACAAGGATATGAATGTTGGGTAAGGGAAAGTTGTCTTTTGGACTTGCTTTGTTTAAATCCCTATAGTCAACACAAACTCCGATTTTCCCATCCTTCGTTGGCACATGCACAACATTTGCTAACCATGTGGTATATCGGACGACCCTGATCACATTTGTACTTAGTTGCTTCGTGATTTCTTCTTTAATCTTATCACTCATGTCTGTCTTAAACTTCCTTTGTTTTTGCTGGATTGGTGGAAAATTAGGATATGTGGGAAGCTTATGGACCACTAAAACGGCACTCAAACCCGGCATGTCATCATACGACCAAGCAAATACATCTCTGTACTCGAACAAAACTTGAATTATGGCATCTCTCGTCTTTTGTTCAGTATGAATGCTTATTTTTGTTTCTCTGGTTTCTTCGGGACTTCCCAGGTTAATTGCCTCAGTTTCATTTAAGTTAGGCTTAGGCTTATTCTCAAATTGATCCAATTCTCTCTTTATTTCCTTAAAAGCCTCATCTTCATCATACTCAACTTCTTGATTCATTATTTCGAGATTAGATAACTTTTTAAGATCTGGGCATGAATTCCGCGTGCATGTCATGTTTTTAAATCCAGCATTAACGAAACTGAAAATGATAGGAAATTAACAAAAATTAGGGAAAGGAAAAGAAAGAATTCTACTATGAAACTGCAACTTCATTTCATTGAATTTGAAAGGATAGAAAGGTTAACATGAAAGCGAAGCAATTAAACTAATATATATGGATTACAACCCTTAAAATAATCCAAATACAGAAAAAGCAACAAAACAGACTACCAAGACTCCTTCCTGATGGGAAGAGGAGTTGCTTCCCAGTTGTTGAGCGAGGTATCTGGATCAATCAGCTGAACACTTGCACGACTAGGGCCCTCACCAACTTGAACCATATTGATTTCGTAGAACATCTTCTTGAGACCCTGCCAAACTTCATCAATGTCATCCTGAGTAGAAGGATTTTGGACTTCTTCAAATTGTGGCTTGACAAAAGAGTAGGCAATGTGAGGGATTGGTTTTGACAATTTCCAACCATTCTTTTTGCGGGCCTTGGCTCTGTTTATGTCAGCTGATGTTGGTTTAAAACCCAAGCCAAAGGTATCTTTCTTCGAAAAGGGAGCAATGGGGTTCACAATTCCTTACAGAAAGGATCCTAATCCTTTTCCTAGTTCATAGACGTTCCTCAACATCAGTGAAGCTACCATTATAGATGTGGATGAAAGATGGGGATGCAGAATTGGTTTTCCTTCTTCCACTTGGTCTACCTCAATCACCTCAAATGTTTGATATATGAGGGATTCACATCCTTCCTTGGCCTCGATACATGGAATGGACGGGTCATTATAGACGGATGAGTCGTCCTCCCCATGAACGACAATTTCTTGTCTGTCATACTCGAATTTGACCATTTGATGTAGGGTGGATGGTATAGCTCTGGCCATATGGATCCACGACCTTCCTAGAAGAAAATTATAGGAAGTTTTCATATCCAACACTTGAAAGACAATGTTAAAATAAACCGGGCCAATTGTCATGGTGAGTTTGATTTCCCTAATAGTGTCTCTTCTTGAACTACCAAAAGCTCTGACGCTGACACTACTAGTTCGAATTCTGTTAGTGTCAATGTTTAGTTGTTGTAGAATAGAAAGAGGGCATACATCTACACTTGAGCCTTCGTCAATCATGACTCCTTTTACGTAATGCCCTTCATATTTGACCATAAGATGCAAAGCTTTATTGTGCCCAGCCCCTTCCTCAGGCAAATCATCATCGCTGAAAGAGATTTTGTTCACCTCAAAGAATCTTTCAGCCATTTTTTCTAGCTGATTCACCGTTGTCTTTTCTGAGACATATGCCTCGCTCAAAGTTTTGATCAACACGCGGCGATGCTCTTTCGAGTGCAAAAGCAGAGATAACAAAGATATCTGAGCAGGGGTTTTCCTTAGTTGGTCAATGATTGAGTAGTCTTGCATTTTGATCTTCTTAAGGAATTCCTTCTTTTTTTGAAACGGGCTCTTTCACTGGAAAGTGACTTTCCCTGGCTTGCTTAGCTTTTCTTAATTCCTCTGGTGAGTAGCACCTTCCAGAGCGGGTCAAGCCCCCCATTTCATCTGTTTCTTCCACTATTTCTTTTCCTTTGTACGTCATGACAGTCTTGTTATAATTCCAAGGAATAGCTTTTGTGTTTGACACTGGGAGTTGTGCAACAGGTCGGATCACAACTGGCTCTGTTATATTTCTCAAACCATTATTTGGAACAATCTTTTGAATTCCCCCAGGGATGTAAAGTTTTGGCCCGCCCAATTGAACCTCAACCTTTTTTGTGCTTCCAGGGACATAGAGAACCGTATTTTTCAGAACCTGCCAAGTTTGAACTAGAACTCGCACCTTTCACAATCAATGGTGCCAATTGCGGCGGGCTTACTATCACTTTTGGCTCTTTCCCTATGGTTCCAACAACTATCTCTGTCTTGCCAGACTGCTTATAATCCCGATCATCACAAATCATCCCAATAAAATGTGTGTTATCATAAGCTGGGAGCGGATTGTTTGTGATATTAGGAGTATCTTCATTGTTTGTCACCACAATTGCCTTTGCTTCAATAAATTATCAATGGCTTTCTTTAATGTCCAACAATTTTCGGTACTATGACCTTGGGTTTTAGAGTGATACTCACATCTTGCATTTGAGTCAAAACCTTTTGAATTTTGATTCACATAACGCGGCATGATAGGTTCAATCAACTTCAACTGCATCAACTTTCGAAATAGGCTTGTATACGATTCTCCAATTGGGGTGAACTCTTTCTTTGGCTCCTGTTTTCTCACATATTCCTGTCTGGGATGAGGATTATATGGCGCCTGAAAATTTGGCCGGAGTTGACGGGAGCCTTGTGGAATCGGTGCCCGCCATTGTTGGCGATTGGGAGGCCTAGCATAAGCTTAAGCATTAAACACTGTGTATTGTTGCGAAGGAACTGAGTACTGGGGACCCTGAGGCGGATAATAATGTTGAGGAGAATCGGATTGTCCTTGTTGGAATTGCACATAAGAAGAAACTATTTCTCTTTGAACTCCCCCGAATCCAGATGCCATCATGGATCCTTCCTTCTTCTTTTTTCGATTTCCGAAACTGCCTGACCCGTCTTGAATTGCTTGTGTGGTTTCCTTAAGGGCTGCCCGACTCACAATTTTGCCCGACTTCATGCCATTCTCAACTATTTCACCAATCTTAATCGCCTCAGCGAAGGGTTTACCAATGGCGGCCAACATGTAATGGAGGTACTTAGGATCCCGAGCTTGGAGAAAGTAGTCAATCATTTCTGCCTCTTTCATTGGTGGTTTGACCCTAGCAGTCTGCTCTCTCCACTTGATCGCATATTCTCTGAAGCTCTCTGTTGGTTTCTTCTTTATGTTGACAAGAGAGGAGCGGTCTGGCACTATATCAATATTGTACTGAAATTGTTGGAAAAAATCTTGAGCCATGTCGTTCCAAACGTGCCAGTGAGAGACGTCTTGATCAATGAACCACTCTAAAACAATTCCTGTCAAACTTTCTCCAAAATAAGCCATCAGTAATTCTTTTTTGCCTCCTGCTCCCCTCAATTGGTTACAATACCTCTTCAAATGGGCCACAGGATCACCGTGACCATCATACTTGTCAAACTTGGGGGTCTTGAAATCGGGTGGCAAATGAACATGGGGGAACATGCATAAATCATTGAACGAAACACTCTTGTGGTCTCCCAAGCCCTGTATGTTTCTCATGGTTTGTTCCAAGCTCTTTATTTTTCTAGTCATTTCCTCTTGTTCCGTATTCTTGTCGGGCTTTTCGATCTCGATTGGGAACAAATTTTGAGGAGTATGCTTGTATGAATTTGGAACCTTGAAAGCCAGCTCTGGAGAGTAATGTTGGGCATCGTGATCATTGAGTTGTGGATCATTGTTGAGCTTTTGAGCAAGAGCCGGTTGAGAAACAGTGAAAGTAGGGACAATGGGTACAGTAGGTGGATCATTTCTGAAGGGTGCAGCTAGAGGACGTGGAATGGAGGTACTGGGTATCGCGGGAAGATTATTGCTTGGACTGAAACCAGATTGGTACAATGGGTTGCTTGTTATGGACATGGGCACTTGATTTGCAACTGGCATATTATGAAGATTATCCGAAGGCCCTATGGGTAGTGAGGGCGGTGCCTGTCCATTCACCCAGGCTTGGTACATCTCTGCAAGTTGTTGCTTCAACACTCTTACTTCTTCAACCAATCCCGAACCTTGTTCGACCAATTGTCCATGGACATCATCATTATCAGACTCGTTCTCACTGTTGTTTGCCATTCTACTTTTTCCTTTTGATCTCGTGTTGTACGGGTGAGTCTCCAGTTTAAACCACAAACTAACCACCTCTGTTTAACTTTTATCTTTATTAATGACAAACAACCAACGTGTTAGAGTTAGTCATTTTCAAGATATTAATCACACATTGTATGTCATGCACCTAATGCCATTTTCATTTCTAAAATCAGTTTGGAAGGCTTCATGCTTCATCCCGGCTTTTTGGTTCATTTCCTCATGAGTTTAACACTCTCTTTTCTTTCCTCTTTTCTTTTTTTTTTTTAATTTTCTCTCATTTTATATTTTTATATATTTTTTTTTTGCTTTTTTTTCAAATTAATTATGGCTATGATCGCTTCCGATGAGGATTGCATACGTATCATGACGCCGCATGAATCAGACCATTACGTAGTTCAGGAGAAATAATAACAATTCTAATGATTTTTTTTAAAGAAAATAAAACAAACTAAAATATTTTTCATTCATTTTCAGTCATTTTTTTATACGATGAGAGAAAAAGGAAATATATACAAACTGACTCTACTGACTCTAAAAACATGACTGGAATAAAATAAACTTTGATAAGAATAAAAGTCTCCAAATATAAAATTAAAAATGCGAAAAATAAAAATGAAACTAAGAACTAATGGACTGCACTAAAAATTTAATCTTCAGCGGTCTTCTTGCTTAGACTGATATCATCAATGGTCTGCATCTCTTGGCCTCCACTCTCCTCCAAAGTCTCGTACAAATTCTGAAACACCGTGGGCAACTGTGGAACGAGGGAACGTGCTTGTTGGCCAACTTCCTCATTTTTTAGACGACGATGATCATCATGAACATATGCTGCTTTTTTTGCCAATCGAAGTACTTGCTCTCTAGCTTGCCCCATATTCACGTGACAATTCTGCAACCACATCTGGGTAATGTTGAGGGTGTGCCCCATCTGAGCCTCACGTCCCTCATATTCTTCAATGCGACAGTTTAACACACCTCTCTCAATCATCCACTGACGCCGCTCTTCCTCAAAATCTGTGTGCTGATGACTCCTCTTCTGCCTTTTTATTTCTTCTAATTGTACAAAAAGCTGACTCTTTGAGCGTATCCAGTGGGCCCTTTCTGTTTCAAACTGTTCTTTCTGCTGATCAAACTCCAGTTGTTGCTGGTGCGCATCCTCTTCAATGATACTCAAATCTTCTTGCAACTTATGTATTTCAGCATTTTTGTTCGCCTCAACTCTTCTAGCTAAACCAATCGTGTTTGCCAGTTCTTCTTGTAAGCGAGCTGCCTCATTTTTAGCCTACTTTAGATCTTTATCCATGACCCTCAAGGCAGATTGATAATCTTTCTCAATATTTAAATGAATCTGAGCAACTCCGACTTGCTGCTGGGATTTTTGTTTGGCTATGGTCGTCTAAGCATGCTCCAATTCATCTTTCAGCTTTTCTATAGTTCTTTGATCATTTCTCCTCCTGTTCGACCCCTCAGGCTTATCTCTAAACGACGAAGGATCATGAAACCAGGTAATATATTCAGGGATCACCTCTCCACGATCTCGGTTTTCTACCATCTCATTCAACTCCAAAACTTTACTTGCATACCAAATTTTCATAATTTCCTCTTCGTCATGAGGTTGATCTTAACCAAAATCATAACAGAACTTGCTCATATCTCGTGTTGGTGGCACCTCCTGTCGTCGTGCAAACTGGCGCATTATCCGAAGTGGAGCATAAGGCTGAACACCATCCAATCCTATGAGTACCAAATAAGAATGGTATGCAGACTCACAAATGACCTCTTTAGAGGAAAACCAATCATAGTTCCATGTGATCTGTTTGGCAGACAAAGTAAGAAGTAGTTCTTTCCAGGCGTTAATCCCTTCAGGTAAGTCACATTTGTCAATTCTTTTCTGGTGATCGTAAGTGTGATTGGGCCAGCGCTCACTAAAATTAGAGATCGCAGGATGACGATAAAAATGCTCCAAAAATCATATCTGTAGCAAATGTTGCAGCTATCAAAGTTTCGTGTGCCCAATTTACATCCAGTTAAAGCACGAAAAATGGAAGAAAGAATCATAGTGACCAAAGTATAATCATCCTCTTTTGAGTTCAGAGCCTCAACTACACCTGCCAACCGGATGTCAATGCGTCCTTCCCTTTACGGAAAAACTACACGCCCCCAAAAAGCAACCATAAATGCAAACCTTCTGTGTATCTTCCATGTTTCCTTGTCTTCCTTTTGATTTCAATTTTCCCACATTCCTTTCGAAATTGCATTCTAGGTCGTATAAGTGAAACAGAAATCCCAAGTTAACCCACTTGCCTCCTAAACCTTCATACTGTCTGTAATTTATGTTCAAGAGCTTCAGAAACTTACCCTCATTCACATTTTTTGGTACTATGGGCCTTTGGCGACGAAGATTACGGCCCCACCCCTGGAAATGGGCGATTTCCTCCAAGGTCGGAGTCATTTCACAGTCAGTAAAATGAAACACATTGTTTTCAGGATCCCAATGCGGAATCAAAGCTTCGATTACATCCCTCCTGGGCTTGATTGTCATCATGTGAACCAAATGTCCCAAGTACTTCTTTATCTGGTTTCGCTCATATTCCTTAAAATCTCTCCACCAATCCCACAACAATTGTGGTATCTGATTAACAATAAGAAAATCCGGTATCCCTTCTGACCTGGGCCTCTTTTCAGACTTACCTCTTTCCCCGCTCATGGTGCACCTGTTTATCCATACACGGGGTTAGGTTTTAATCAAATATACTATTGACACAAAAATTCCGATTTCTCGGGTTTGACTCTATAAAAATAAAAAAAATTAAAAAATAAAAACCAAACTGTGGGACTAAAAAAATGGTTAAATTTGCAATATTGTCATGAAATAAAAAGTAAAAGGCCGAAATGACTTTTTTTTTTTTGTAAAAACAAGTAAAAAAATAATAAAAAAAATAAATCGGCCTCCCATTTCGCATTTTCGATGAAGTTTTCAAGGCTATTTCGACAAAAAGATCGGATGCAAGGACAAAACTGGTTAAAAACTGACAAAGTGACTATATTATCATTATTTGAAAAAAAAATAGTAACTAATAGTCCATAGAAACCCTTTTTTTTAAATGGGGTTGAACCTGATGAAGGTTGCCTACGTATCTCACATCCAGTGAGAATCAAACTCGCGTAGTTTGGTTAAAACAACTAAAAAAACTATTTTGAAAATTGTAATTTTACATAGTAGAACCTTTCAAAATTTTATTTAAAAAAAAAACGGGTATTTTATGAAAACTTGAAAATTTTCTTTTTCTCTCTCCTCTGTTCAATCAACATATCGTAAAGCCGGTCAACATTTGAGTGAAACCTACCAAATAATATTACATATAGCAGATAAAGATGAACATGTTGGTCCGAAAAATTGGTACCTGCCCTAGACGGGCCCGGCCCCTGTGCCGAGTCCCGCTAAATCCAATGCACATGATGCAAATAAAGCGTAGCCTACTAGGGATATTCATTGTTTGTGGCTTGTTCTTCTAAGTTTTCAAATTCTAAAGGAGATGGTATATAGACCTGGCTTACCCGGATGGACAACCCGAGCCGAGGAGCGTCAAGCGTCACCAGTAGTAGAACAACACTGGCTAGCTAACGGCTCTCCCGCCTAAACATGTGTGACTAAATCCTTCACCAGAAGCTGGTAGGCTAACTGGCTTTATCTCAAGATAGAAGTTTTGTGATGCTGGTAGGCAAACACAACATAACTACCTATCTGAAGACTTAGAGGGGTGCGAGAGAGGATACAATTTATATCACAGTTCAAATAAATATTAAAGCGGTAAATAAGCAACAAATAGAACATTAGGCTTCCAAACACAATAATATCCAAAACATGATAAAAGCCAAACAAGAATCAATATATAAAGCTCGAATTCTTATTAATTAGTCCCCAACAGAGTCGCCAGAGCTGTCACACCGCTTTTTTGCCACACACAACCCTATTACGAGGTTGAGTTAGAAGAGTCTTTCCAATTGAAGTGGCGTTTTGAAAAGGGATTATTTATTATTTTAGAGTCGCCACTTGGAAATGAGTTTTGGTGTTCCAAATCACCTTTATTTGAATCCCCTTTCAAAAGGAAGGTTTGACTCTTATTTCATGGTCTACGAAAATAGAAGACTGAGTAAGGAATTCTGTTGACCGAGGAGAAGGTGTAAGACACCCCTCGAGTCCCGTGGTTCTAGCACGGTCGCTTCATTTGACTGATGTAAGGCTTAAATCAATTTTTAGCTATTCTTGTATAAATTTATTGATTATGGCTTATTTATTACCGCTTAATTAATTATTATATTTTATTAATTGTGTTCACCCAGATGCGGTACGCATACAAGGTATTTCTTTGAAATTAATTGTTAAACCAAGGTACGAAATGTACACATGGTTATAACATAATTATTTTAAATTTAAAGGCATCGAGACGCGGGAATGCGCACATGACCCTTTTATTACTTAATCATATCAATCCAAGGTTCGGGTGTGAACACATGGGCTAATATTTAAAGCACATCTAAAGTTTTTCTAGCGTTTTAGAGTGTTCCATTTATTTGTCTTTTCTTGTAGATTCACGATATATATTTGTATGTTTTATTATTTATTTTTGCTTATAAGAACGATTCGTGAGTTGCTTCATGACTCATTTTGCTCCCTCACAATTACTTTCTAGTAATAGGCCTTGAAATATATCTGGCCCCAATTAACTATATTCTCCCATGACCCCGCATTCAACGAGAATATGAAAGAAATGTAATTAATAGCCTAGCCTCAACATCAGATTTATTTACAAAGAAACATATTTATGCTAACAGAAAATCAAATAAAATTTATAAATGAAGATAATAACTCCTGAAAATTCTAACTTATACTTCAATAGTGAAAAAAAAAAAGAATCTATATCCTTAGACTACTTTGAGTAACTAACATCATATTAAAAAAATTTCTATCTATATAGAAATAA